CTATCCAAAAAAGAGCCGATAGTCGCTATATTGTTTAAAACTTAATTTTAAACAGGAGCATATATATAAAAAAGAAAGACTTTAATGTCTTTGCAGATGCGGTTGTTCAAAGGGAAAGCGTCCATACTTGCTGAGGACAAAATTTCCGCGGCTCAACCCTCTGGGGTGGCTGCCGTTTCATTCTCCTCTTCGTGATGCCTGCAGGCAGGGCAGTCAATCAAATCCACTTTGTCTATGAAGTCACCCTGCTGTAGGTCGCGCAGATTGACATCTAGTAACGTCCTGCCGAAATAACCACAGGATCCTGGAGAAGAAAATAACTTACCTTCACTTAAGCCATGAACCCAAACCTCAATTTACAAGAGATATTGACAAAAACAAGTTTTCCAGCGAAGGAAAAGGCTCTGCTGTGCAGAAGTTATCAGCAGCTTTCTCCTCGTGTCGTCCAGTTTCAAGTTACGATGCACATGGAATTGGCAGCTCTGCTGAGTGACAATGGTTTGCCAAGATTCTTCAATGTCCACGTGGGTTTATGGATGGCTGTGGTGTGGAGGGTTCGTCATAAAGTGCTGCCTTGAAGAGAAACTGAAAGGTCAAGGTCATTCAATAATCCTTCATGCCTTCTGCTCTTAGATTTCCTCACCCTACCTGAGGTCCTGTCCACACTGACACAGTCTGCAGCCTGTCTGCATGAAGCAAGCGGCTATTTTTATTTTTCTATCTAGACATGTCTTGCTTAGACCTCTCTTTGTCAGCACTTGAAGGATAGCTCAGTTTTTTTTTTTTTAATGTGGGTCTCTGTTGAGAGAAAGACACTAAATTTTATCAAATATTTTTCTCCAGTTTCTAATACAAATATCTTGGTACACTTGAGAAAAGACAGAACTAACTTTCAGGTAACTTTTGAGCAACCAAGATAGCTGCACTAGAACCTAGACCAAAATACTTTGTGTATTTGCAGTTTACTAACTTGCCTCCAGGGGGCAACTGTTTTCAAAAGTATAAAAAGCCCCTTACTACCAAATCTAGAGACTTTCTGTTGCTATTGGAGACTGTTGGAGAACTGAAGCATGTATTGCTGTGGGCCCTATCACTATCTATTGTCTCTTTTAGGTCCATTTAGATTTAGATGCAACATAAATATGCAATAATTCAGTGAAACAAACAAAGTACACGTTTGTCAAAATACAAAATTTGTAAATTATCAAAAATATTTTCCCTGAATGAAAGACAGAGTTTGCTCCAGCTTTAAAGATTTATTTAAACTGGTCGGTATCCATTTAGGTTTGACTAGCTGTTAGCATTAGCCAAGGGGAATCACCAGCTAATCCACATTTATGCAAAACAAAGATACAGAGTCATTGTAAGCTATTAACTGCTCAGAAACTCGCAACACAACCCTGTTTCGACAAAGTGTGAACAATCCTTTTATGCTTAAATAGTAGAAAAGGTTACGAATTTTTCATCTATCTTTCTCTGGGATGCTTGCATTGAATTCATAAATAAAGTCGAGGGTAAATTTAGCTTCACTCTTAAAGGGAAGAAAAGTTTTAGCGTCTTATTTCTGTGGATGCTCATTTTCTGTCTCGGTATTTTCTGACTCCCACTTTTGCTTCAGACAGTGAGAGAGTCCCAGTGTGCCTCAATCTGTCAGAGGTTTATTTGCAGAGGTCACAAAGCCGTGTGTGTGTGTTTCAGCAGCTTCTCTGTCAAACACACCACACCAAAATACCCTTACTGTCTCCTCGGTACAGTCCACTTCACGCTTTCTCACACATTTCACCATGGCAACAATGCCATCATTCATGCAGTAAAACTGACATAGGGCTATAAAGATTTTTTTTACGACTTATTTCACTGTTGGCAGCGGTGACAATCAATGGCACCGTCCACTACAGAAAGAGCTAATTTAGAAGGAGAGAGTCTGGAATACGTCCTATGGGAAAAATAGCTGTGATAAAACACAGAAAGTCCAACTTTAACCCTGAACTTTTATTTTTACTCCTAGCTTAAATCCCACCAAAATATCCCTTTAACATCAGTAATGTCTTCTAGAAAGTCCCAAATGCTGTGCAAGAGAAACAGGGAAATCTTAAACATCAACACCCAAGGACAATAAGGACATTATTGAAGCATTTATCCCAAAAATTACCCTTAATGGTTTAAATGAGACACATTTTGTTTTTAAAAGCAAAAACATGCCTACAAGCAAGAGACACGGTGGTGGAGGTATCATGTTTTAGCAATATTTCCTGTAACTGTAACAGTACTTTGGGTCAGTAATGAAAATAATTGGTTCATCCTTTCAGCATTTGGTCACAATGTATCTGTCATATGCTATCTAATGTACAGGATATTACTGGATGTAGCATAAAATAAAATAACCTGTATGCATACCATTTCTCAGTCTAAGGTTAAAATGTCAATTGTTTTATCATGTGACATCCTAAACAGTGTACAACCTCATTCTAAATCAAAGTGACTGTAGGCGGTTCCATGTTTTTTTTCCTGTTTTTCCCAAATTTAGTCACGTTTTTCATTAACCCCGGGGAAATCTTCCTGCTCACGCTCACATTTACACACATACACACTCACTCCTTGACGACGATAAACATGTTGGGAGTGATTTTTTTTTTTCTTTTTCCGTCTGCCTTTGATTCCCTTTGCCATCTGCTGTCGCCAGCAACTCCTCAAGCCACAGCTCCGTTCGGAAGAATGGTGCTTCTGGTCTGCTCTCTCTTTCCCTCCCTGCCCTTAAGGTAGGAAATTTACCATTATTTACCATCCACTTCTTATCTTCCTGTTTTTCCTTTAGTGATAATATGGTGTCTTATTAGTCTGAAGTCCACGGCTATCAGCTCAAAGTATAAATGTAGTCGTGTTTAGCTGTTTGTGTCTGTCAATCATCCTAGCAGAAGCATTGAGGACTTGCAGCGTTGCTGAAGGATGCAACTGTTTTTAATGTGATGCGTTGTTTTTGTTTTTGTTTTTCTCAGCAGGGAAGGCTGTCTCTGCACATTTGATTGACACTGCCACTTCCTTAAATTTCATTTCAGTGCTTTTACCACAACGAAAAAAAAAATATATGTCCATGAATTTTTGATGGGTGAAGAAAAAAAAAGCATTGCCTCTCTTTTTTTCAGGCGTTTGACAAGATGTTCAAAGCCTGTAGTGACATAAAAACACGCACACGCACTAAATGGTCTTATAGTTTCCAATCAATCCACAAGTCCCAAGGTTCAGTCATTTTCAAACTGTAGTTTTGTTCTGCACAGAAATAATCAACCTTAAAGAGTCCAAATCAACCTAAAAATAAACCCCAGATACAATAATATTCAAAGTGATTTCTCTTCATTTAATATGAGATTATCACCATCTACAGGCCAAGATATGAAACGGCAATAATCTACAGTACATTGATATTACTCGATGAAATGATCAAGAACATATAGGGAAGATAAATGTTAATTATTTTACAAACCTGTTGACTAATGTTATTTTGGAGTTTTTGAGCAGGTAATATTTTTAGGCCAGTACCAACAAAATGAAAAGAAAAAACGGGGACACAGCGCCTCCTGGTGGACAAATGTGAAAATAAATTATTGGTGGCCAGTAATCTTATGTTATCAGAACGCTTTAGTTGTAGGCTAACTTAATTGTGGGATCAAAAATGAGATCTTTGATGTTTTGTAATGGAATACAACATTGTGATTTTTAATTTTAGGCTAATCCATGGACTAATTTGGAGTATATGGTATATACAAAGCAGCCAAAATGCCTTGTAAGAAGAATGAAAAATATATAACGGCAAAAATAATCTCTCTGAATTCGAGATTTTGCAAAGAAAAAGTAGTTTAGAGATAGGCCTGGATTAGCCGATAAAGAATATAACAACCAAAACTGGGATTTATTCGAGTTTTTTCTTTTATTTGAGATTGGAGTGCGATATTCTGACTGCACTGAATCAGTCAGGACTGAGGCAACTGATACAAGTGATATGGGTGTGGGGTCGGTTGGACCCCATTTGTAAATACAAGGGTTAAGGTGTATCTTCACACAAGCAAATGCTTTAAACTTCTGTTTTTCTAATTCAAGAGAAAATATTCTTCCAAAATATCCCAAATTTTGAGATCAGCAACTCTTACTTCTGATGTGGTGAACTGCAACCTCATTTGTTTTGTGATCTTGACAACCAGCTTGGCACTGCCAGGTCAACAACAGCAAAATCATGGTGTGTGTGCAGAAACAGGACATTTCACACCATGTTAAGGTTTTTCCCTGGGTGTTAAATATGGGTATTAAAGCTAATAGTATGTATAAATACCCTTCAACATTACAAAGGTAGGTCCAGAAGAAATATTGACATCCAATGGAGAAAAAAAAGAAAGAAAAAATTCAAACGCAGGAATGCAAAGCTCACATATGCATGTAAGAATCACGCGCAAACAACATGCATGCAGCGTTGCAGATCAGTGACCAGTCAGGCAGCGTCCACGTTCTGAAGACTCACCTGTTTTGGACGTTTATGTGTAACTTTTGTTCCCCATAGAGGAGTGTGCACAGTGCACAGCTATGCTTGTGAATTGTGTAGAGGAGGTGATGTTAGGTGGTCTTACTTAGTGTCTGTCCAACATGCATCTTACAGTGGCAAAATAACGTGATGGTTGAGCTATCATATCTTTTCAATAAACAAATCAAGATCATTTTGATTAAATCATTATTTGTGATTCTGACATTTTTGGTTACATTTGCAGTTTAGGCCAGCGAACACATGGAGGTAAAGCAGCTAAGTGAGTTCAAAAATTGAAATATTTTTCTAAGAAAAATGTCAGTCTGTTAACACTGATTTATATATTGTAAATAACTAAAAAATATATATATAACACTTGTGAACCAGACCTGTGCGAACAATATAGAGCTCGTGGGCGCCCCCTGTTGGTTTGGAGCCACATCACGTGGAGGTGAAACAGCTAGGTGAGTACGAAAATGTTAATCTATTCAAAATCCCAATTCCTGTGTGAACGGTCTGGAGCTCGTGGGAGCCCCCTGTTGATTTGGAGTCGGAAAGCATATGCTTTGTTTCCTAATGCAACAAAAATGTTTTCAGCATGTCCATTCTTGCTGAATTTATTTTATGCCTAAGTCAAGCTTTGACTTTAGTCTAAAATACTTTAATTAATAGCTAAATTGATGCCAAGTGGATGAGAATTCTGCTGCATTTGTTTGTCAGTGAATTTATAATCAAGTGTTTTTATTTTTAGTTTATATGAAGCATTATATCTGTCTATCACATTATGTACAGGATGTAAATTGTAAACCACTTACGAAGCTGCCGACAGCTAATCACGACGTACATGTACATTCTTTTAACACTAGGGGGCGCATTAGTTCTTGCTCAGGTGTGGGATGCTAAATTACAGCTCTAATATTGACTTAAAACTGTTAAGTATTGACTCCATTTATGTAAATTTAAATAATGTTTCAGCGTCTACAATTATTTATGTCACTACCTCTTTTTTAATGGTTTAAATAACCCGTGAACATTTTACATATAGAAGACAACAGGTGACGGATTTACTGTTGTTCAGGAAGCAGTTTAAAAGCAGCTGCAGTGGTTTTTAGTAGACTGAAGGACATGAGGGGTTTTCCGTTTTCCGTTGCGTTCACTCTCCCGACCACAAAAACAAATGAAAGCTTTCTCGGGTTTGCAGTATCATGGGTCTCCTCCTTCCCACCCCATCCTCACCGCCTACTCTGGTGACAATGCTGCTGCTGTGGGCGGAGGCGGAGCTCTGTCTCCTAATAACCTGAGGGACCTGTTCCCAGCGCAGAGGAGCTCCAACCACTGCACCTGTGAACTATGTCTTAAAAGCCAACCTGTTGGAGGCAACAGAAACCAAGGTGAGTCTCACTTAAATGTTGCATTCAGTTTGGTTTCAGCTGGTGAGTTCCCTCTTGGTCTCCTTTAAGAGTTTCAGAATGCATTGAGATAATTAATACATTTATGTGATATATGGATATATTCTCTTGTAAGTTAACTCTAGTGCAACAAAATATCAACATTTTCATCAGAACTGTGAGTTGGTAGATGTTAATGAAACTTTAAGCTGAAAACAAAAACAAACATGGGCCATTTTAATTGATTGTGATATGTAGAAGCAGTGTGTTTTGTCATAGAAATACTCCAAAGTCATTCTACTTTAGGATTTAATTACTTTTAGTTTGTTAAAACTCATAAGAAGTCCCAACAATATTTATTCTATTTTTCATAATTATGCCATTATATATACCCATCTTTGTTGCTTCTTTCCTTGTTATCTTAACTTTTGTTTTACATAGTACTGCTTTAGAAAACAACAATAAATCAGTCAAATCTCAATCTCCACCTTTTATTTGTGTTGTGTTAGAATGAGCAGTGTAGTACAGCTATCTTTACAAGAAGTTAGAAAAGAATTTTGACATGGAAATGACTTCAAAATTTCCTCTTGTTGTGGATGGCTAGCATAGCAAAATAAAGCTGGCACTGCTGACCTGAATTTCAAAGTGTTTCAATTACAAACAACTGCTCATTTTAGAAACATGTTGCACCTTTTTATTCCAGTACTTTTGTAGTTAAAGTCTTCCGAACATTAAAGTCTTCAAACACTCATTCTTATGCACGGCCATCTGAGAACTGTTGACAGTAGCGACTAAAAACCTTCACAGCCGAGGAAACGGTTGGGTGTTGGTGTAATTAGAGCTCACGTTTACAAATACGGAAACTTATTCCTGGAAATACAGAAACTTATTCCTGGAAATACAGAAACTTATTCCTGGAAAATTCACTCCACAGTTTTTCCACAGTTCTGGAAAATTTCTGAATATGCACTTTCATTTCAGTGCATATTCCTGCCCATTTAACCCAATTTTCTACAAATTATCTCTTGCGTGTCCACTTTGTAGCATTTCCTGGTTTGCCATTTACAAACCTGAGGTTGCTTCCCGTCGACTTTGCGCTTTCTAAAGCTTCAGACCTAAATAAACAAATATATATTTTTTGAGCCTCTAAATTTAAGAAAGGTCACTTCGAGTTGAGGTAATTAGTTAAAGTAAACCCTTCAACATTTTTGTACTAAGATACCAAAATGTCACTAGAAAACACACAGCAATTCATTTATGTTTGGTTTTAATTCTGTTGAAGTTAGATTTGCTTTGAGACTGCAGTGTGTGCCCACCTGCAGGAAAACCAGATCTTAATAATCTGATGTACTCTTATTTGACAAACCACAAAGTTTTCACTTTCAGTTGACTTGTTTTGATCTTTCATCAACAGCTCTTTCAATCAGCAGAGCAGCAACCCCAGCGTGTTCATATTATGATTTCAAAGAGTCATACTTTTGTGTAATTGACTATTTGTGGTCCTTTGGGCTTTTGGCTATGGAGTTTCAGTCTGTAGAGTCACGAAGTAAAAAAAATTAACATCTATAATGTGATTTATTTAACTACATATTTTTGATGTGGGTGTTTTCAAAGTCATATTGAAATATGACTTTCAATAGATTACAAGTAACTAAAAAAGTTACTTGTAATCTTAATTACTTTCCAAATCAAGTAATCAGTAATTTAAGTTACTTTTTCAAAGTAACTATGCCATCACGGAGTCTTCCTGGCTGGTCACTGCATGTTGTAGTAAGATGAGTGAGAAACCAGTCAAAGTTCAAAGAAAAGCCCATTGAACTATTGATCCGACCACTTTATAGGATTAGAATGAAGTGTTTGGTGCAACGCTTGGACCTACGCAATGCTACTAAACACTATTCAATCGTGTTTGTTGTTTTTTTTTTCTTGCAGGATGTGAACTTTCTTCTGAGATCTAATTTGGTAAAACAATCCACCGACCTGTAAATGTTAAGCTACACCGACTTTCTGAAGCGAGCCGTTAACTACTGAAGATCAGAAGTTAACTACAAAATCAGATTCTTAGATGTGATTCTGAAAATTATATCATAGGTGATAGTTTTTGTAAATGCAGATCAAAACTTTGTCTGATTGGCTTAAAAGATAGGTCATCTAAGCAATCTAAGAAGTCTTCAATAATGGCTACCAACGCCACCATGGAAGCAGCAGACATTGTTGTTATCGTAATTTACTTCATCGTGGTGCTTGGGATCGGCTTTGTGGCAATGCGAAAATCCAACCGAGGCACGGTGAGCGGCTACTTCCTGGCTGGTCGCTCCATGAACTGGTTCGCCGTGGGAGCGTCTCTCTTCGTCAGCAACATTGGAACTGAGCATTTCATTGGACTCGCCGGGTCGGGGGCTGCTAGCGGGTTTAGCGTGGCTGCATGGGAATTCAACGCTCTACTGCTGCTTCAGTTACTGGGCTGGGTGTTCATCCCTGTGTACATTCACTGTCAAGTCTACACCATGCCAGAGTACCTGTCCAAGCGATTCGGAGGAAAGCGCCTGAAAGTGTATTTTGCAGTTTTGACTCTGGTGCTTTACATCTTCACCAAGTTGTCTGTGGACCTCTACTCAGGAGCCTTGTTCATCCAGGAATCCTTAGGGTGGAACCTTTATGTTTCCATCATCGTCCTCATCGTCATGACAGCTGCGCTGACGGTCACTGGAGGTCTGGTCGCTGTCATCTACACAGACACAGTCCAAGCAATTCTGATGATCGCCGGAGCGCTCTGTCTGACAGGAATCGGCTTCGCCAAAGTCGGAGGCCTTGAAGGTTTTTGTTTCTGTCACTTTTTCCACAGATTTATACTTTTTTGGGGGTAAATTTACAACTAAAATTTGGCTTCTTTTGTCCATTTTAGGACTAAAAGAAAAGTACATGCAGGCCAGTCCAAACATCACTGCCATTCTTCTGTCTTCACCTAATCTGACATACTCTGAATCCTGTCAGCATCATCTCCACCCAAAACCAAATGCTCTGAAAATCCTGAGAGGCCCAAAAGATCCAGATCTGCCCTGGCCTGGTTTCTTGCTGGGTCAGACCCCTGCCTCAATCTGGTACTTTTTCTCTCTTACATTTAATTCCCATACCACAAGCTTCTCAAAGACAGTCTAACTTTAACCATTATTAAATCACAATCCAACCCTAATGAGCAACTGAAGCTGAATTAATAAGCTACTTTGTTCATATGAGACCTAAAATGCAGATGATATCTGGAGATTATGTTTAAATGATTTTATTTACACTGGCACTCTACGAAAGACAGAGTGTATATAAAAAAAACTGTTTGTTTGTTTGTCATGTTTTGTGATTTATTTTACCAGTCATTTCTTGTGTTAAACCAGAGTCAGTGCTTGCTTGATTTGACCAGTTTACCAAATAATGGATGATTTGTTTGCTTTTCAAAACGTCTCTTCCCTATTAAACAACTTCAAAACATACATTTCAGGTACTGGTGTGCAGATCAGGTGATCGTACAACGAGTTCTGGCCACAAAGAACATTGTTCATGCCAAAGGATCGACCATCATGGCAGGCTTCCTCAAAACTCTCCCCATGTTTATCATGGTCATGCCAGGTAAAGACATCTTATTGCATTTTGAAGAACTAAATCCCAACTGCTTGAATCAGCCATAACCTCGTGTGTGTGTTTATCTTAATTCCAGGGATGATTTCCAGGGTCTTATTCACTGACCAGTTGGCGTGCATCAGCCCAGAGCACTGCATGCAGGTGTGCGGTTCTGCCGCCGGCTGCAGCAACGTGGCGTACCCTCGCCTCGTCATGTCGGTGATGCCCGTCGGTCTTCGCGGGTTGATGATGGCGGCCATGATTGCTGCTTTGATGAGCGACTTGGACTCTATCTTCAACTCTGCGAGCACCATATTCACGCTGGATGTTTACAAAATGCTGCGAAAGGACGTGTCGCCCAAGGAGCTGGTGATAACCGGCAGGCTTTTTGTCGTCGCTATGGTGGCCCTCAGCATTGCTTGGGTGCCGGTTGTCATCGAAATGCAAGGGGGGCAAATGTTTTATTACATCCAAGAGGTGTCCGATTATTTAACACCCCCTGTGGCGGCGCTGTTCCTGCTCGGTGTTCTGTGGCAGCGCTGCAACGAGACCGGTGCCTTTTGGGGTGGAGTGGTAGGCTCTGCTCTTGGCGCTCTGCGGTTGATCTTAGCCGTAGTTTACAAAGAACCGTACTGCGACCAGCCGGATGAGCGACCGTCCTTCATCAAACAAATCCATTTCATGTATGTGGCGGCCATCTTGTTTTGGGTATCAGCTATAACGACTGTCATTGTGAGTCTCTGCACACCTCCGCCGGAAAAACAGCTAATCAGAACTACCACTCTGTGGGGGTTAAGGCAGAGAATGAAGTTTAACACACTAGCAACCGATCAAGGTGAAGAAAACCTTAACAAAACAAACGCAACTGAAAATGGAGGTGGTGGTGTTGGTGAAGAAATGCTCCATACCGACCAAAAGAACCTCAGGAGCACTGATGGTAGATATGAAAACACTCAGTCGACCAATGGGAACATAATCCCAGCCCGGTCATCACTACAGAATGGCTCTTATGATGTGATAGATGAGCCTATGCAGGAGGGCGAGGGAGATGGGAGAGAAGTGAAGGATGTGGAAGAGGGGAAGGAGTTCCAATTGGGGGAAGGAGGAGACTCTGTGAAAGTTTGTGGGGGTATTTGTGGCCCCCGGAAGAAATCTTCGCAGACTCGGGTCATCACAGCTCAGGAGCAGGAGAGGATTGTAAATAAGCTTCTTTACGAACCTCCCAGAACCCGAATCATACTAAACGCAGCACTGGTACTGATTTGTGTGATTGGGATCTTTCTTTATTTGTATTTCTCCTTATAGACAGCAAAAATTCTCTTAAAACGAGGTCCTAATCCTAAATTTATTTCTTATCTCCCTGAATTTACGGTAAATTTATGACACCGTGTTGCGGCGTACAGTGCACTTACTCCACTTCAGATAGTAATACTTCCAAGTCATACTCAGAACTTTTTAAAATGCTTCTCTTTCACGATATTGATTATTATTTGTTTACTGTATATCGTGGAGTGCTGGCAGCTGGCCAGTCACCATCAGTGCTTTTTAAAAAAATTTTTTTATTGAAAATAATCGGTCTATTTTGTCACATGCATCTGACAATAGTAATGTGCGTTGCTGTTACAGCTCACAGCTAAAGCAAATCAGCTATTTTTAAAGATTTTCTGTACACATTGTAAAAGCATTCCATTCAGGTACTGTCATTTTCTAAGAACAAATGTAATATCTGATGATCTGTAAGGTATTTGTTGTAAAACTTACACTGATGGATGCAAGTTTGAATGAACTGATTGTAAAACATCATTGTGAACCCTAACCCAGATGACTGCCCTGTTTATTTTGAACATAAGTAGGTTTGACTGGGTTCAGTGAAGCAGAGGAAATGGAAAATTTTGAAGGTTTTTGATCAGATGTTCTGACTGAGATGGATTAAACGGCATTGATGTGAACACACTGTTAGCATGCATGGACTTATTTGGGTACTCTAATCCTTCCTTGACCACACTTTTATTTTTACTTTTAACCGTCATACTTCTCAAGATTTTTTTACTTTCCATCTAAAAAAACCCCCCACAAAACAACTATGAACCACTGATGTCAGAGAAACCTGTGACATCAATTAAATGCCACCAGGCAATCACAGGACACCTTCCTGCACCAGTGGAAACTTGCAGATTTGAAATGGAATGTTGTCGACTTTTACACAAGTCCCATTTGCTGAAAATTGTACAGCTCACTTTCAGCAACAAGCCAACTCGGAGTACTTTACAAGATGGAAAGGAAACAACAAACAAGCAAAAAACATTACATTGCAATGGCATCTCCAAAGAAATGTCACCAGCAGTTGTCACCTTCTTGATTGATTGTTCTTTCCATTATTTTGCTGTCAATATGACTGTTAACCAGCTTTTTTAAAGGTTCTTGTATTAAAAAGAAAACTCACCCTAGATTATGTGTGTTCTTGTCTATGAGAATAAAATGCACATGAGCACATACTCAGTATTTGTGGTTTAAAACCAACAAGTTGCTGGGAAGTCGCACGGCTTCTTTCATTTATTTCAACCACTTCCTGGAACAAACTGGGTGTGGTTGACCCATAAAAGGCGCGAAGTGTAAATGTAACGTTTAAAATGCCATAGTGAGGTGAGGTACAATAGTGAGGTGTGCTTTATGAATGTGTGCCAGTAAATCTCCAATTCATAAAAATAAAAAACAAAACTGAAGAACTTTCCCACCAGTCCACCTGAGGGTTGACTTTCAGTAATTTTGACCTCAGGAAAAGTAACACATCTGAACATTTGCTTTACAGGTGCTGCTTAGGAAATTACTAATCTAGTGTGTGCATTTACATTTATAAAAGATCAACCAAGTTGGGTTGGAGGCCATTGTCTGACCCAGTTAGTTCTATTGTTAGCAGAACCCATCAAGGCAGACCACTGAGTTACGTTCAATCTCATGCAATTTAAACAGAAACACAGTTTGCTGGTGAATCTTTCTCTGATTTTAACATGTCAAACCCACACAGTTTATTTCCAGTCTCCATGATTCTAAGAAAATACACTTTTTTTGCTGACAGTTTGATTTCATGCAATGAGTAGCAAAACCTGAAACATGGTGAGTTTCAGTTACTTTTTTTTCCTGGAAGTGAGGTGCAGCAATTTAGAAGCTTCAATAGGAAGCAACAGTAAGATATTGTGATTGATAAACACTGAGATCTCATAAGTAACAATCTGACTCAATTTTCAAGACACTATGACTATGTCTTAAGTTGGAAAACATTTAGAAGACTTGGAGCATAAGAGGCTCCATATTAAATACAGAAAAGTGTCTCAGTATCAAATCGAGGCACAAAATGTTTCTCTTTTATGCTTAAAATTAGGTCTTGGAGAAGAATGCCGATAAGGTGCTGCCAAAAAAAAAAAAAGCTACGTCACAAATTCAAAACCAAAACAAAGTCGGTTAATCAAGATTTAGTGTATCAAACCACATCCTATATTCAACAACTTCTAATGTGTATTTTAAATGGAAAATATTAATATATCTGTCAATCTGTTAACTACTGGAGAAGTTAATGAAAACACAAAAATTTAATTATGAATTCATCGTTCCATATATATATATAAATATATATATTCACACCGATTTGATTGGATTCAATTTTTACAAATTGCCTAATCAAGATCTCCTTTTAAGTGGTTAATATCGCGAGAACAACTCTTTCAAATCTCGCGATTTCTAAAAAAAATAACATTTTGGATGTGTTGTCAAGTCGGCTGCATTTAGAGATAAACAAGAAGCATAGAAGCCAGATACTTTTAAACAAAGCAAATATATTTAAGTTAATTATAGCTAATGCCATTATTATGTTAAATGTATAATTAACTGACTAATTTACATCATTTGCTTTTTCACAATAGATATATTTTTTTACATTTATCTCATTTTATTTTGAAAGTACCGGATGTGTATGTATGTTTTAAGGCTGCTCGCTTGACCGACCCCGGACTGCTTCTTCTCTGCCTCAGCTGAAGAACAAACCGACGCAGCTGGGTTTGCATCAAGTATCAACCCTTGGCCTAAATAGAGGAATTTACCATCACTTCAAATTCAACAGCAGCATTTTTGCAGAGTTAAATAGAAACAGTAAGCAAATGAAATAAGTGTCAACTAGCCGTAACCACAGAAACAGGCTAGAGGCAAAGAAGCCAAAACAAAACATCAAAACCCGGCAAACAAAGAGGTCCTTTTTTCAACGCCAACATTTTTCCTCCATATTCAATAGTTATGAGTCATGTGGCCGTCGAAAATGCCCACGGTCTAGAGCAGCAGGTAAGCTGTGTCAGTTTGGTGTGTCAGAAGTGGTTCTTGGAAAGTGGGACAGCAGCGAGGATAAACATTAGCTTGCCGGCTAGCCTGGTACCGTTAGCGAGATGCTATCGTGCTAACTAGCTTGGGGTGCGTTTGAATCTTTCACTCGGAAGAGACTCCGCTCAGACACTTAACCACAACTCTGAATTTATCTGTGCTCTATCTTTATATTGTATAAAACCAATAATTAAAATGAATGTAGTATTTCAGGTTTTCTCATTGAAGAAAAGTGTTTGTTTTTGCGAAGCCAAGCATCACTCTAACCCCATCAGCTTCTTCGTGTTGAACATATTCAACGCACCTTTTGAACTATTATGTTCACTGCGTTTTGTCTTGCAGCTTAATACAGAGATAAAACGGAGGTACGAGAAAATACAGCTAAAGTGAGCCTCGCAAATAAACAATGCGGGCTTTTACACCCGAAACTCTGGTTACTAAAACTATAACCAGTATGATGGTGTTGATGGTATTTACCCGTTCAGTAAATTTCTTCTGCGTCATCAAAAACGTAGCTGTCTGGTCAGGCAGTTTGGATAGCAACAGAAAAGTACTGCATGTACTTAAATGATATTTTGATTATAAAAAGCCCTCGAAATGTTTTTATTAACAAATATGCACATTTTCAACACTTGTAAGGATGCAAAATAAATAAAAAGCGGCACTGGGAACAATTTGTTCAGAGTGTCATCCTCGTCTCTGCAAAAGCAAATGAATAGATAAACCTCTATTATCCTGCAGCAGCAATGAGATTGATGCAGTTTTTTCAGTCTATTTTAAAATATGCTTTTTTAATTGAACGAACTGTGTGTAATAAGTTTATTTGGAGAGAGTTTGCAAAATTTTGCTTACAATAAGTTTAATTTAAGGTAAAAGTTATACTTGTATATTTTTCATATTTTGAATGTGATGGAATTAACGAATTTAAACACTAAAATTAGTAAGAAAATGTATAACTTTAATGTGCATAAGTGCAAAGCATGTTTTTTGCTCAAAATCTAAGTGAATATTATAATGGTGAACACAAATATGCAGTGTATAAACTGTCTCTAAATCAATTTTTCCCATTATTTTCTACTTTACTACTTTCACTTTGTACAAACTTTCATATCCACATTTCTGATGAATTTTGAAGCCCAATAATTACAAAATTGATCTAATTTTGTATATAGTTAGACTTAATCACAATTAAATGTATTATATTTTTGAAGCTTTTATTGCACTGTTTCAGATGATTTTCTCATCCTGTGCCAGTGCATTGTCACCAAATCTGAATAATGAAATAAAAGTTTGATTGACAATGTGCGAGTATGTCTACATGTCTACAGTTTTTTGTTTTTTTTTGTTTTTTTTAACGTTTGGTCCTCAACATTTCAGTTTGTAACGTTTTTAATTGTGCAACGCGCTCATGTGTTTCTGTTCTGGTTCTCCAGCTCGCTGTCCTAGACTTGAGTGCTCCAGATGGACAAGGCGGAGGTACTAACAGTAAGACGTAGACATGTTTTTGTTGCCATTCTCTGCTTTTTATTTCAACAAACTCCGTCCCAAAAGTTGACTTGTGTCTCAGCTTAATTTTAGTAGGTGCTGTATTTGGAAAACAAGTGCATACTTTACAGTTCAGAATTTACTCACGGTAAATAAAAAACAGATTAAGCACATTTATACTAACATTTTTGATTTTATAAGGACTGTTTTTTGTAATGGCAGTAGTTAAGTTTAAAAGCCAACTTGAATAACCAAACATTATTTGGTGTTACTCCTATTTAATGAGTTTAAATCAGGTGCTTAATTCTGAACAGACCCGTTTCCTGTTTGTAAAGATCTACACGTCCTATCGTAGTCTAATTGTTCCGCTCTAAAAGACTTGCGTTGTACAGCTTACATGGATGGAAGTTCAGAATCAATTCGCAATGGTCTTCTCTTTTTATATTACAAAACCTGGCAAGCTAGCAGGGGTGTAAAAACTTTCTTTATCCACCGAAAGTAACAGCATGTGCTCGTAAACAATGCTTTGTGATTGTGTTTGTCCAGGGCGATACATTCCTCCACATTTACGGAACAAAGACGCATCCAAGAACGGTGAGAAAAGCAGGAGTTACGCAGGAGTGTGTTACCCTCGCGTTTTGTCAGCGACGGTTGTCACATTAGTATGAATTAACCTTTTTAGTAAGCGTTGATTTTGTAGGTTTTTGTGTAAAACGGCAGGAAATCTTTGTGGTTGTTGAAATGTTTTTTTTACTGACCATAAGCGCAATATAAAAACCCAACTTGTCGTGTGCAGTGGGAAATGCTTTTGCTGCTGGACGACCGGGGGGGTACACCATAGCGCCTGCAGCAAACTGTGAGTAACTCTGACTGTTGACCTCATCACAAATGTGTCGTAGCAAACATAAGCTGCAGGCCAAGTGAAATTATCTTTAGATTTCACCCGATGATGCAGAACTTGAAGAAAATCTCACATTTTCTTCTGTCAATTTACTTAATCTGTATCTAACTTGTTGAAATACTAAAAATAATTTCAACTTGACCATTTTTTTTGATGAGTATTCCCTCTGTTTATAATCCTACTGATGCAGTATTTGTTGCAATGTTCCTCAATTCCCCTCTCTCTCTTTCTCTCCCCTCAGACGGTTGGGACGCAGGGCGCAACAACTTTGTCAACGGCTACCATGACAACCGCATGACCGGCAACTCGTTCAACCGTGGCCCGCCACGCATGGAGCGTGGGCGAGGCGGTGTTGCGGGAGGCAGTTACCGTGGCAACAGGGGCGGGGCGTTCAACCCCATTAACCCCGCGCAGCCCATAAACTTCGGTTGGTTCGACACCAGGCCTGACGCAGAAATCAGCTTTCTTAATACGTAGAGTTAAAACGTTTCCATGGGAAATTCTTCTAATTGTTTTTGCATCATGTCTCTTATTAGAGGCCGGTGGCTGGAACACAGCCAAAGACGCCTATAGCAGCTTTGGCAACAACCGAGGGAAGTCTGCGTTCTTCAACGACAGAGGCAACACCAACAGAGGAAGGTAGGCAACGCAGCCACTTTCGAGCACACCGTGAGCGGATCAGAAAACCCAAAAGGGTCAACGCTCCAATTTGTTCCCGGTGCTCAGGTTCGATCACGGTGGATTCGGTGGTGGCGGAGGAGGAAACAGCCGCTGGGTGGAGGAGTCCAGGGACGATGGCGACTGGTCCAAGCCGCTGCCGCGTAACGAACGCCTGGAACAGTGAGTCTGCACTAACAACTACACTTCCTGTGGGAGGGAAGGTGTTCCTGGTGGCAACACCAAGTTTTTTGTTTTGTTTAGTTTTTTTTTTAAGTGGGGAGAATCGAGAACCTTCATTTTATAGCTCAATATTAAAGTACCTCCTAGTACTCATGAATACTGCTTTGACTGTAACTATTTCACCAAAGACACCAACTGTATTTATAGTACAAATGCAAGACTTTGTCATTATTCCCATAATGTTGGAAAAAACACAATTTTGCAATTTTCCATTCGATAAACACAATTGAAATCACATGTGAATAAGTTTGTTGATGTCATAAGTCATTTAAAAAACATGATGCTCCATCTTTTTTTTTTTTTTTTTTTAACGACTACTTGTTGTCGTCTTGTGGCAATGTCCAGTTGCTGAGCTAAGCTGAGTTGTCCAAGCTCAGCTGTAGAAAGGTTTAAAGGTATGTGAATGTTTTTCTGAGACCAGTCTGGTCCCCGTCTCTGCAGTGAGCTGTTCTCCGGCAGCAACACCGGGATCAACTTTGAGAAATACGACGACATTCCCGTTGAGGCTACAGGACAAAACTCCCCTCACCACATCGAGAGTGTACGCCACCGCCGCTCACATCGAATCAGACGTCAACCAGGAGCCTTCCACATCTGGACACGTGTAATTCTCTCACTTCCTGTTCTAACAGTTCCAAGATGTCGACATGGGTGAGATTATCATGGGTAACATTGCTCTGAGCCGCTACACCAGACCAACTCCTGTGCAGAAATACGCCATTCCTATCGTGAAATCCAAGAGAGACCTGATGGCCTGCGCACAGACGGGTAACAACAACACAAAAGAGGACAAAGATCTGCACTAGGTTTAGATACCAATCAGTGATATTGGATAAATTTGACCTTGTGTCGTCAGGATCTGGAAAGACAGCTGCGTTCCTGCTTCCAATTCTCAGCCAGATCTACACAGACGGACCAGGAGAAGCTCTGAACGCAGCCAAAGCCTCAGGACAGGTCAGAAAAGCGAGTTTCCACACATTAAAATGAAAACTCACTGAGCTTTGAATGTAAAACCATAGTGACGAGCCTTCCTGTATAGTTGGACCACAGAAACCTTGTCAGACTTTTTGTAACCGCTGGAGAAAGTCCCCCTCCTTCTCTCTCTGACCACACTGCTGATCAATGCTCCACTTCTTTGGAAAGTAAAAACTCCTGCTCTATTTAAGATCAAACCTTGATAGTTCCATCTGTCACTGAGTGTTTAAAAACTGCAAAGCAGCATGGCTACCATCAATAGACCGTAAAATATAAGCTTAATAAGGAAGAAGGCAGTGTTAAAAAATTTGAACGCAACTAATCGCGTTTTAGGTTTTTGCATACAAAAGTTCCAGGATGGACCCTTTGCATTTCAGTGATTCTTGAGAATAGGGACAAAACAGGTCCTATGGATAAAGCACAAAATTTGAATAAAATATACACAAAATATATATTTTTCGAATATCTGACTAAACTAACCTGGGTCATGTGAGCACAACAATGTATATTTTCCTGGTGTTTGCTGAATATTTTTTTTATTTTAAACATTGTAGTCGGTGGATGATGCCTGTAAAATCCCTTATCCAGGAGCAGAACTCAATACATTATAATAGTTTAAACCAATTAAAGAAATACCAAAATTATATATTATGACAATAATTCATTTTATTCACTAGTTTGTCACCACCTTCAGTTCTGTGTCAACTCCGTCAGATGGACTTTTGGTTGTTTTTTGTTTTAAATAATAATTATTTTGTTTCTTGAGAAGCATTTGTCTGTAAAATGAGTAAAAATATCACTAATAGGGTATTTTAAAAATCCTTTTATATTTATTTTTGTCAGATGGTGATGACAGAGTTCTGGGTCAGGTCGATTAAAAATATATATATTTTTTTAATGTTGCAACTGGGAGCCTGCACCTTAGCATCTTTACATTTCCAAAACATTATTTGTCATATTTGCATACATAAGGTTGAGAAATAATAAAAAAAATATGGGAAAATTAAAACCTATCAAGAACCACTGATTTGTGTCTCACATAATGACTTTTATCCCCCAAAATTAGGGCGGTGCATATATTTCTGACTCTTGCTGATTAAATCATATTTGCAAAAACTAAATACATAAAAAAAGACATTATGTGGGACAAATTGAAGCCCTATGTGAATGTGACATTCCCGTTCTGTGATGATTGTTCCAGGAAAATGGGAAGTATGGCCGGCGTAAGCAGTACCCCATCGCCCTGGTGCTGGCCCCAACCAGAGAACTGGCACTGCAGATCTACGACGAAGCCAGGAAGGCACGTAAACATTGTGCTCACAAATTGCAGTGAGGCAAGAGTTAGAAAATGAAGAGAGACTTGTGTTTTGCGTTGCAGTTTTCGTACCGCTCCAGAGTGCGTCCCTGTGTGGTGTACGGCGGGGCAGACATTGGCCAGCAGATTAGAGACCTGGAGAGAGGCTGCCACCTGCTGGTCGCAACACCTGGCAGACTGGTGGACATGATGGAGAGAGGCAAGATTGGACTGGACTACTGCAAGTAAGACGTGACCCGACGGAAGAAATGGAAGATGAAAGACGTTCTGGATGCTTCCCTTCCTCAAACTTGTTTTTTTTCTTTTTTGCTTTAGCTACTTGGTGCTAGATGAGGCGGACCGCATGCTGGACATGGGCTTTGAACCACAGATAAGACGCATAGTGGAGCAGGACACCATGCCGCACAAAGGCATCAGACAGACCTTGATGTTCAGCGCTACGTTTCCGAAAGAGATCCAGGTGTGTTTGTTGCGACTCCAGTTGCCAGCTCCTGGACGGCTGTCAGAGCGGAGTTTGTTTCAGGACAGGAAACTAGCAAGACATTAAGTTCCTTTTAAAAAAAAAAAGTAGCCTGATGAAATAACGCTTTTGCTTCCCCTGCAGATCCTGGCGAGGGATTTTCTGGAGGATTACATCTTCCTGGCAGTGGGCAGAGTGGGTTCCACCTCGGAGAACATCACACAGAAGGTGGTGTGGGTTGAAGAGAGCGATAAGAGATCTTTCCTCTTGGATCTGCTCAGTGCTACAGGTTAGAGATCTTCATTAGGAAGGGAAGTTTTGCATGAGGATGTAGGAGTAAACACAGCAGGATTTTCTAATTTCTTCTCTAAATATTTAGAAACCATTTTGAACTGATTGCATACCTGTCTAAACGATTGCATACCTGTCTAAACGTAGCGTTCTGCCTCTTCTAGCACACATAAACAAACTGTGCTGTATGTCTTTTTGCAGTCGTGCCGTATTTATCCCATCTCACTCCATTGCATTGTTACACGTCTTGTCTTAGCAAACCAGCACGACTTTTACTGTCAACGCTGTTTTACACGCGTTATCCCTTCGTAACATCTCTAATAATAGAAACATTCACTCAGTCATAAGTGGCTAAGATAAAATTCAGACAAAGATGTTGGTTTTGTTGCGGTTGAGGAGAAAATGTGTTTTCTTTGATTAATTTAGTGCAGTTGAGGCATTAACGCTGACTCGGATTAGGAATAGTTATAAAACTTTGATGTGGTTTTATCCCAAGTCATCCCCAACGAGGTACAGGACAATACTGGAGACAACGTAGAGAAACCTGGTAAGATCTACACTTAAGACGTTTCTAAATCTGTCATTTCATGTTTTGTATAAGTTTGCTTGACCCCCATTATATATGTTTTTGTGGATGGAGAAACGTTTCTTCATTTAATTTCGGCTCTGTGTACCATCTCATGTGCTGAAATACACAAGCCAGTTTTCCTTTTTTAAAGATGTTGTAGCATCTTTATGCACTGTGTGTTTCTGTGGTTCCTTCATGTCAGACCTGTAGCCTTGATGGAGAGAATCTGGTCATGATGATGGTTCCTTGCTGCTGGGTGGGGGTCATTTTAGGCAAACGAGTGATTTTTAGTGGAGAAAACCTTCAGCACTTTGGACCAAGTCTTGCCATCAATGGCTTTAATGGTTCCTGCATGAAAACTCCTACATTATTTTTGATCTGCACATCTTTTTCTTGTTTTTATTTATAAAAAAGCATTACTCAGTATTACTCAGCAAGCCTGTATGTATCACACCACAGACTGGGAGACCCTCATCTGCCAGGGCTCCGAAAAACATAGAATTCAGTTTTTCGACGTTTGGAGAGAAAAAAAAATATGGGGAACAAAGGCATAATGTGAAATCTTTGTGTTTCCAAATGTTAATTTGCATTCTCTTGTCTAAAAGATGAAACCAGCTGTCATTAACAATTCTTTTGTCCATTCTGTGTTTGTTGTCCCTTGGTCCTTCATGCACTCATGTATCTCTTCAATCATAAACCTGTCTCTGGTCTTTAGCCCAGTCGTTTGTCCACCATTTGGTTTTCATCCATTCTTTGGTCCATCATGTATCTGGTGGTTTTTAGCAGGTTTCATATCTAAAACCTGACCACTGTAGTCAATCTGAAATAACTTCAGTAGACTTTCATACCCATGCGATATAAAATGGGCTAAAATATCCTGGAGACTCTCGAAGAGGACAGAACCTTGACATGAAACATGTTGGACCTCTGTCATTAGCGGTGTGATGCATTTAACTGATCCAAAGTTCACTTGTGACTTTTGAGCTCAAGTCTTTCACAGCAACATTTTTCCACATCACCGCCAGATGTTGTTGTTTCCTTTATGAATGCTGGCCCACAGTTCTGAAGCTCAAGGTCTGCTTTATGTTGCATCAGACTTGAAGTTCTGTTTAATTTACATTAATCTCTCCCGGCACCTTAAGTTCAATTCTAGTTTTTAACTCATTTGTTTTTGTCTTTCCTGACCAGGTAAAGACTCCCTGACCCTCGTCTTCGTGGAGACCAAGAAAGGAGCCGACGCCTTGGAGGACTTCCTGTACCGGGAGGGCTACGCCTGCACCAGTATCCATGGCGACCGCTCCCAGAGAGACCGCGAGGAGGCACTGAACCAGTTCAGATCGGGAAAGTGCCCCATCCTTGTCGCCACGGCGGTCAGTAGAACAAAACCTGCTTTCAAGGAGTGAGAGCGGACTGCAGGGTTATAATCTAAATATTCTCGTGTTGGCCAGGTTGCAGCTCGAGGTCTGGACATCTCCAACGTGAAACATGTTATCAACTTCGACCTTCCAAGCGACATAGAGGAGTACGTCCACCGCATCGGACGTACGGGGCGAGTCGGAAACCTGGGTCAGTGAGCGGCTCTGAAAACCGATTCGCTGCAGTTCCAGCTGACAAACGACAGATTCTGACGAATCTGCACGCTGTATGTTCTCCGCAGGGCTGGCCACGTCATTCTTCAACGACAAAAACGGGAACATCACAAAGGACCTGCTGGATATCCTGGTAGAGGCTAAACAGGAGGTTCCTTCATGGCTGGAGAGCCTGGCTTATGAACACCAGCACAAGAGTAGCAACAGGGGGCGCTCTAAGAGGTTCGGATCAGCTACTGTCCTGGCATCGTTTTGTAATAAAATCGTCAGAAAATTGTGCTGAATTCCACGTCGTCGACAGGTTCTCTGGTGGTTTCGGAGCTCGGGATTACCGCCAGACAGCTGCCGGGGGCAACGCCGGAGGGTTCGGGGGGCGGGGAGGACGCAACCAGCAGGGACACGGAGGAAACCGTGGCTTCGGAGGAGGTAGAGAATGTTGCGGCGTTTATACCGAGATTAAACGACACACAGGTGAATAAGGTTTGTTCACATCCGCAGGTGGTTTCGGCAACTTCTACACAAGCGACGGCTACGGAGGGAATTACTCCCACTCTCAAGTGGACTGGTGGGGCAACTAGGTGTCTCCATTCCCTCTCTACTCATCTTTCTTTCCTCCTTTAACTCCTTTTCCATCTTTTCTCCCCAACCATGTCATCCACATCCCATCCGTCTCGTCACCTCTACTATTCCCTGGAACCTACATGCATGTTATTAAACTATTTATACTCATTTATATATCCCCTCCTTCTAGTCCCAGTCAGTCATGTCTTTTATTAGCTTTAGATTCTCTCGTGCTTTCCATCTTCATTTTGTTCCCTTTACGTTCTTGATCTCTCCTGGTAAAGTTGGCCACTTTTATAAAGGATTCTTGAATTTTGTTTTGTTGCTTCCTAACAAAGTTCGAGTTGTTCTCAAAGCCCCTCATGTAGGACGATTTATGGACATTTATAGGCAGGGCTACATCCTTTTTTTATTTTATTTTTGTGACCTTTAGATTTGAGTTTTAGCTTCATGTTTACCAGTCAGGCAGGCTCCCTGTGTAACTTTGTATTTAAGCGCATGGCCATGTTGTAAATCACCGGCCAAAAATTTTGTAAAATGCGGAGCTGGGCGAGACGGCAAGGCAAAATATCCGACATAGGAACTTTGTGTTCTCCTTCATTTCTAACCTGGAGTTTTTCACTTTTTAAAGCATCGATTTTTGAGTTACTGACGTCTGCTGAAGAAAACGACAAACTGAACCCACCTAACCCCCCCTCAACCAGTGAAACGTCAGTTTTGCCCACTAGATGGCGCTTGTTAAAACTTGATTTCTTCAACTCCAACCAACAATGTAGAGAATCTTTTTGTTTCTGTACTGTGCCTTTAAGAATTTAAACTCTATGTATGTTGCTTTTCTCACTATAATACCTAACTGGCTGCAAGTATAGTTTTTAAAGGTTACTGTATTTAATGTCATGTGTGGGTTTAAACGCGCACTTCTTCATTCCCGTTTGGACAGAGACAAACTAGGCTTGAACTAAATCAAACCTTGGCAAAAAAAAAAAAAAACGGACGTAACGAGGAAATCTGAAACTCCTCATGTCCTCTTAGAGGTGTAAAAAAAAAAAATCACCAAATGAGCTGTTTTTCCCTGAAGCTTATAACCTCTGTAGAGACAGTTGAACTTTTTCTCAGCTTGGTTGTAGGTTTTTGTTGAGGGGGAAAAATACTTGTTTTTTTCGCGTCAAATCCAGAGCTCAAACTTGAGCTAGCAGCTTGGTTTCCCACAGCCTTTGTCACCAATTGTCACCCTCAACTCCTCTGGCGTCATTAACTGTTAGTAAAAACTGATCCAGGAGTCTCTAAGTCAAACAAACGAGACTCAAACAACCAAAATCGTTTTTCTTTATCCGACTCTTGGTGCCGCAAAGCTTTTGGGAAACCGAATCTGCTTCCACCTCAAACCTCAGTCTTAGTTCTTAAAATCTTCCTGCAACTCTCAAAAGTAAGTTAAAGGAAAAAAAAAAACATGCTCACTCTATCCTGGAGAGTTAAACGAAAATCCTTCTCTTCAATAAATCTTTCCAGTTTTTTATTATTTTTTTTTAAATTACTTTGTTTGGTCCTTCAAATCTGTTGAGGTAAAGCGTTGGAATTTATTTTCTTTTTTTTTTACTGTAGTGACAACTGGGGCTTCCAGATAATGAAATGCTGCATTTCCAGAGCACATTATAGCCACATGTACAAAGAGAGTACATACCTTACTGACTTTTTGTCCAAACTGAGCTACTTGGTTTACATCTTTCCACCATCTTATAGAGGTACCACCTGGTTAAAAACATTCTCACCTTGTTTTTGAGGCTTTTTTTTTCTATTGAAGTATCCACTAAACCTTAACCCTGCTTTAACTGGCAAAGTTAAAGCAGTCTGAACCAGAGCTGCTAAAATGTGCTGGTGGAAAAGCGGCATTCCTGGGGAAGTCCTGCTTGGCTCTGTCGCAGAAGGAAATCTCAAGGAGAAAGCCGACTCTGCACAGACATTATCAGCACTTCGTTTACTTGATTTAAAAAAACAAAAACATGTAAATAGTTGAAAACTTGAAGCGAAACCAGAGGGATTTCCACAGAAAATGTGACGGATTAGAGGCGTGTAAAACTCGGATCACTCAACATGGACCAGACTGCGTCTGGGAAGCTTTGTTCAGAGCTGCAGTAGACGGAGATGAGTAACGTTTCCAGCAGTATAACTCGTTAATTTGCGCTCATAACTTCTTAAATTGCCCACTGCCTCTGACAAAGTCGGACCAAGACAATAAAACATATGCAAGTGTTGTTGTTTTTTTGGTCAAGGAGTTAAAAATGCAGAGCAGACTGCTCTAAATCTAAAGCAGGCTTTAGTAATAAACACCAGACATGTTTTGTTTTTATTTTTGTCTTATTTTTCTTCAGTTTCTTTTAAACGTGTAATTCTTTAGCTCCAGTTCCCTCACATCTGTTCTGCCGGGATGTAATGGAAACTAGTTGGCTTTATCACGATAAACGAAGAGTTTTCCACTGAGAATAGAGGACAGCCGTTACAGGATGCAACGTCGCACTCCGCCGTGTCTTATTAGTTGCTCTTTATAGCCACTTATTAAATAAAAAAAACAAACAAACAAAAAAACAAATTTAAGTTGCATTCTCGGCTTCATTTGTCAAAGATAAATGGACCTTAATGAAGTCTGATTAAATTAAGAGCGCCGATCACTTGGTATGCTCCGATGTTTTTAGCCTATCAGGGTTTTGTTTTTCTTGCAGCAATGGTTGATAGTCTCCATTTTAAATTTCTTCAGCAAATAACCAGCACCGAGATAGAATCCGTAAAGGTACAATAAGTTGCTAATGACAATCAAGTTTAAGATAACCCGCGTGAACAGAACTCTTCCCGTTGTATGTCCAGTCATTTAGCCGCCACCTGGACGTGCAGAGGTTTTGTCATGCAGCTGCCCGACTTCGACCCTTGTCTTCCACAACAATGAAATTCCCAGAACTGAACCACTATTGAGCTGTTGGAAATATCCTCCACTACCAACCTCGAACTTTGACCTTGCTGTGAGCGGTGTTACTGTTGATATATTTACTGTCGGAGTAGGGATACCGTTGGTGTTTACTTGAATCCAAAGCGGCTGCTGCATCCAAGCAGACGTTCTTTAAACTTCTGTGTTACCGTTTTAATGCTTGGATCACGTCCCCTGATTGAGTACAGTGCAGGTTCTAGAAGCTGCTGTGCCTTCTACTGACCACTAGGGGGCAATGAAGGAAAAAGCACTTTGTTGGCAGCTGCATGTTTTGATATGTTTTTTTTTATTTTATTTAAATTGTAAACAGTGGGAGTTAAATGTTTAGCGTTTATGTTTATAGGCCACTCCTGTCCAATAGAAGTCGGATATGCAATGCATGTGCGTCTCATGAGCAAAAATTCACTGTTAGTTGCATTTACCAAATAAATCAAGCTAGAGCAATGCTTCACTACCACTGTGCCCCGAATCGCAAACCTTAATTCTGCTTGGCACTCAAATTTCTACCAAAGTGAAACAAGGTTCTGTTGCTTGCTCAGATTATGTACTCAGATTTCTTGATTTTTAGTTTCAAACTTTTTTTATTATTATTATTTTGCTACATTTAAATAAAACTGTTAGCACGCTGCGTGCTAACGGACTGTCCACTTTCCAAAATGTGCATAGTGCCTTGTAATGACTGAATTACTGACTCACACATTGGTTAGGGCTGGGTATGTTTTCAGTTGGATACGACGTCCAAACTATTGCTCTCTCAATATGAAACTGTAGGTGTGTAAATGTTATTTCTCTGCATGTGAATGTCACAGATTGACTACCTCAAGGTACGATCGCAACAACCAGAGGGGCATTTAGAGAGCTCGCCATCTTCAAAGCTGGTGGGCCTCATTTAATGCCTTTTTGTACAAAAATAATAAATAAATAAATTAGTTTCTTTGTGTCGCCACTTGACAAAGTTCAATGAATTTCAGTACTGGTAGGTTTTGCACTCGCGCTACGATGAAGCAGCCATTTGGCACAAGCTCTTTCAGACGCAAATCAGGCACAAATTAATTCTGGTGCTGCTCAAGCGTGCAAAATTATTTTATGCCATTAATGGTTCCATCTTGAACAGATTCTTGGCTTTCTAGGCACGTTTCTTCAGGAACCTTTGGTCATTCTTCTTTATAGTCCCAATCGGAGTCGTACAAGGCCGACTCTTAGTGGCTTGCTATCGTTTACGGCACTACTACCGACACGTCTAGCACTTTAAAAGATTTAAACACCTGCAAATCCCGTGTTGTATTGCTTGCTAATTTTAAACTGCTAGCATGCTAACATGCTAACTGCAGTTATTGCAACATGTACAAGTATTGTGAGTTTACTCTTGACCTGTACCTATGCAGAATCCATTGTAGGCATTTATTTCCTCCCCCCACACCCTGTTACCGAGTGCGCGCGTAAGATATGAATATAGCTAATTTATCCAGATCATTTCAAGCACACTCTACTGTCCTTTTTTTTCTTTTTTTGACTAAAACCCTTCTCATTTCCAAATCCAGCACTTTAATTTTTTATTGTCGTTTCTAAAACCCATCGATGCCTTATATTAGTGGTGAATACCCAGCCCTAAAGGAGCAGAAGGCTGTTTGTTCCTGACGCGCTCATCATTTACGCTGATGACTCTGTGCTCTCTAAGTTATTCGCAGGAGTGCTTTTTTTTTTAAAAGACATGAAGAACAATTAATGGTGCTATGCTCCCATTGCTGCGGCCTGCAGGCCTCCCTGTTGTAAAATGACTTTAAATCGCCAACAGAGTTTTGCAGAAAATACTGTTTGGTTAACGCTCGTTTGTGTTGAGTCTTATGTAGCACACGTCCTTCACGCCTCTGAGAGGTTTTCCGACTGAAGGTATCCGTCGTGTAGCGCAGCCAGGTGAGGTTTGCCCACAGTTTCATGTGGTTTGTGTTTGTTGTAAGGAAAGGTCCTTCCAGATAGGAAACCGTTTTTACTTTAACTTTTTATTTTCTTTGTTTTTTTTGTTGTTTTTTTCATGGGACCAGGTGGAGCTCTAGTCAACAGCAACTGTAGGATTCAACTGTTTTGCCGCGTTCCTGAGTCTACTTTCGCTGCTAGTTTGTGTAATTTATCAAGCATTTTTGGGGCGATATGTTTATTTTTGTAAGCCTAAATACATAAAGTTGATGTTTTACAAAGTGACTTGACCAAAAGACAGTAAACAAAAACACTGGCACTTGAATGTTGAATGTCATTGGTATGAGTGGAGACAAAAAAAAAAGAAATCTCTATTTTTCTGGGGTAGTGTGAGCTTTTTAATGTTAAAAAAATAAATAAAGATGCAATGAGTGGGGGTTTCACACTCATTATGTCACTGTAACAGGAAGTGCTGGTTTCTGCTTTCTTTTGAAGAGTGCCAAAATCGCTCTGGTTTATTATTTCCATACTTAAAATGGGAGCCTGTGAGGCGTTCAGGTCCCTCCGAAGAAATCCCTTTACCTTTTCCTTCAGGATCACCCTAAAACCAAAGTGATAATTTATTACCATCACCATCTGTTAATATTAAAAGTCTTGGCCAGGGCCTCTTTATTGTAATCACAAAAATTCTAAACACAAAATATCCTCCATTGTTGATGGTCAAAATTGTTTCAAGTACCGCGTCTAAATGAAACACTGGTGGTCGTGTTACACGTTACCGTGACATATGAATTGAAACACCCCGCACAGGTTACCTTAAGTCATATTTATGATCCATAAACCTGTTTGTGCGACAGGCTCCGTCGCTAATATTAGCATAAAACGATCTCCGATTGGCAAATGGATTTGAATAAGTTCCAAATATGCCAAGGTTTGGATTAAAAATAATAAAATGTTATGATTAAAGACCATTTTGTAAAAAAAAATAAAATAAGAAAAAAGTAACATGCAGTACAAAAAAAGTATCCAGATTCTCTTCAAGTCAGTTTTACTTTTTAGTGACTTTTTTTTTATTATTATTATTTTGGAATCGTAACTCCCCTTCTCCCTCTTCTTGTTAATACCCTTGTTGTGAATGTTTGGCAAGTGGCCGTCTTTAAAGTCTCCATCACGCAGAATTGACTGTGGTTCTATTGCTACGTTGTTGTGATTTGCATATTTTCAGGCAACAAGTGCATTGATGCTGTCACAGGAGAGTTTCTGGCCAGTCAGGAAAAAAAATTGACTTTTTTTAAAATGTTTTTTTTTTTTTTCCTTTTTTTTTGAGCAAACTAATTGCACAAGAACAACCTTGTTGTGACTTTCTCTGTTTAAAAAAAGACTGCAATCTAAATAATAATAAAAAAAAAAAAGTGGAGGTGTGTTTCTGAATGACTGTTGTTTTAGCGGGTGGATTTAAGAGACTTTGGGAGTCCAGTGCTGTCTTCATCACTGATTGGCCAGACCGCTCGACGTGATCTAGCAGAAGCACCAGCCTGGTAGTTAGTATTTGCTTTATGTATTAGTTTAGCAAGTGTGCACGAAGAGCACTGCACGAAAAAAAATAAAAAAAAATAAATAAATAAATAATCTGTGCAACTATTCCGATTTTACCACAATTAAAGGTTTGGATTTGCAGATGTGATCAGTGTCTGGGTTGGTTTCTTCCTGTCATCACCTTTAAACACCCTGATAAGCACAAGAAGAGGAAAAATACTCGTCTTAAATTGAGCAAAAAATCATTTATTACAAAAACTTGAGGCGTTAATTTACAGGCGTCAACAGTTGGGCTCAGCCTTACTGTCGTCTAGCACATTCAAAACATAAACATAATTTTGTTCCTGAGGTGAATAATCAGCCGTAGCTGTGTTACAAATCTCATGGAGAGGGAAACTGGTCTTCCTGTCAGACAAGCCGCAGGGCAAACTACGCCTGGTCATGTGTTTGAGGCATTTTCAGGCTCTTTTCTGATTCGCCGGTCCTTATTGACGTCCAACCAGAAGTCTGGGTTGTCTTGGTACCACTTCACTAAAAGACAAGCAGGACGGGTAAGTAAGCGATTGCAGAAGAGAATCCATATTTTAGAGTTCCTACAGTTTGGAAAAGTCTACATATGTACTAACATGGAAGAACTTCCACAGTTACTTCCATATTTCATTGCCAAAATGTGTCATCCCTCTTTTTTTTTTTTATTTGTGATCGTCGATATGTCTGCCCTGCCTTGCCTTGAATATAGAAAACAATGGACTTCAGTCATGCAAGCTGTGTAAGAACTCTGATCATTTCACACTGAGTGGATTATTGAACCTGTTTGTCTGATGCCTTCAGCCCAGGACGTCTCTGCTCTCCAGCCCAGCCGCTGCAGCTTCTCACTCCTGATTGGGTAACGAAGATCGACCTGTGGCCTATCAGATCAAGAAAGAAAATGCATTGACAGGAAATATTTTTGAAAGTATTAAATGCACTGTAGTGTGTGAAATTTGCTCTGGCTATTTCCTGAAAGTAGGAGGGGAAAAAAAAAACTTTCTGATTTCCTAACCTGCTGGAGACGAACTCAATCCAGTCGTTCACTTCAGATTCGGTCACGTTCTTTACCTGGAGGAAGCAGAAACCATTTCAATTCTGAAACCGACTGATGCATCAGTTTCACGAGACCCACCATCCTGACAAGTTCCCTCGCCAGCTGGACGATGGGAATCTCGACGCTTGTTCCCACGTTGTAGACGTCGCCCACCGTCCCTTTCTCCAGAACCAGCAGGAAGGCCTGGACGGCGTCGCTGATGAACAGGAAGTGGCGGGACATGGGCAGGGTTCCCTGAATGGTGCTGCAGCAGAAAGAACGCGTCATTTGGCTTGTATCGTGAGGTACGCTTGGTAAGTTTGACCACACCTACCATTTGTTGTTGCGCTGCAGCAAGGTGAGAAACCTGGGAATCACCTGAAACATTTGGAACAACTTAAGATACTCACTGTGCCTTAATTCCTTGAAATAGTTGTAGATTAAGCATACCTTCTCTGTGAACTGCCTGGGTCCGTAGATGTTGTTGCTCCTGGTGATAATGATTGGAAACTGGAAAAACAAAGTGACGTTATTAATCTCAATAAGATAAAAAAAAGAATAAAATGGAAAAACTCCAGACCTGATACTTGTCCCAGTAGGACCTGACCAAATACTCAGCAGCCGCTTTAGTAGCAGCGTACGGATTGGTCGGCCTCAGCGGACTGCCCTCATCAAATGCCTGAAAGGAAAGAGAAACGTAATCTAACATGGAATCCGACCTGGTGGAAAATAACCATTAAAACCTCGTCGACCTCATCCAGGCTGGTTCCGTACACTTCATCCGTGCTGACATAGACAAAGCGCTGCGGCTGGTGTCGAGCCCGATGGGCGGCATCCAGTAGAACCCTGGTTCCGTCGACGTTGATCCGCTGGAAAACGGAAGGGTACTCGAATGAGGACTCTGAGGGGGGGGAAAGAAAGGCGCATATAAAGGACTGGACCGAACTGCTTATGAAATGAAATCTGAACGGAGGCTGCTCACCAACATGAGTTTTAGCTGCCAGGTGAAAGATGACATCAATGTTTTCATTGATGAAAATTTGATTCACCAACTGTGGGTTACACACGTCTCCCTGTTCAGCACGCAGGCACAAAATACAGGTCATTTTATTTCATGTGCAATTTAAACACAAAAAGGCAAATTTTTACCTGAATGAAAGTGTAATTGTCTCTGTTTTCAACCCCTTCCAGACTCCTGGGACTGCAGCAGTAATCCAACTGCAAAATATAAGACCTAAAGTATTTCAGCAATTCTTTTGGAAAAGGATTTGTTATCAATAAAACATGGTGTCCAAACATAGTCACATCAAAAGTGCCACAAAGTTATATTTTTAAAAAATCAAAAATGCAAATCTTGTCTTTTTTTCCACCCACTCAACCACATACTAAATATGTAATACTTTAATGAAACAAGGAAAGAAATGTTTAAATAGAAAGAAGCAACGAGTTTTCTAAGTTTGTCTAATGTAAAAGAAAGACATGTAGTTTTCTTATTTTTAGAGAGGGGGTCTGAATACTTTCTTATTCTAGAAAAATTATTTTAACAAGCAGAATTGGGATTGTTCTTTCTTTTAAATACTTGTTTTATTTAGCCAAGTCTACAAAATCATAATTGTACAATATTTTACATTAAGAAGCCACGGATTCCACCATCAGTTGTTGGCAAGAACTGTTTATCCACCTCCTTTGCTTTTGCTTCACTTCTTTAAGTGTTTCTCCATCCAATATTAACTTCATCTGTGCTACAAATAAAAATGGGCAAAAACTGATCAAACCGTGTTGTCTTTTTCTATCACATAAAAGCCCATTGAAACACATTTTGTGGTCGTGACAAATGTGGGACAGTCGCGGTGTCTGTGTTCTCGCAGACTTACAATATCCAAGTTAATAATCCTCCATTCTGGGTAACTGGCGACCAGCGAGCATACCAGATGAGAGCCACTGCAAATATAGAAATTAGAGAACCAATTGAAATTTAGGACATCGCACTGTCCTAATCTGATATTTGCATGTCACATGTGCAGCGTTATAACAGAAAACTAAAGCAAAAGGTTCCCCATATAGTTCAGCTTTTATTATAGTTTTACAATTAACTTACATGAATCCAGACCCTCCTGTAACCAAAACCGTCCTGTTAAAGTTCATCCTCTGCTCTTCCTTCAGCTGTCATTTCTATTTTAGCCATTAAAAACATATTTTTTGACGGACAATACATAAGTTCTTCATTTTCTTCCGTACAGTAGAGGGATTGTGCGATGCACGACAGTTGTAAACTCTTTAACGGCAGTGTTGACACGTTGAAAGTAGGCGGTGCGTTTCCGCATTTGACACTGCTCTCCGCAATTTGATTGGGTAAAGTTTATGACGTAAGATGACTCACGGTCTGGTTGGGTAAATCCTGAGTCAATCGAACTGTCAGCAGTAAATGGGATGAAAGGCAAGCCATTTCAAGCGAGATAAAATGTTTGATGATCCGGTATTCTTTTCAAAGTAAGACTCAGTGGCTCCAGTTGTCACATTTTAAAATGTTTTTTTGGTGCATGTGAGAATAATGAAATTTAGGTGCTGTAAAATACATTTGATACATTTTTCATCCGCTTCGCATCCATCTTTCTAGCTTCCACAATATGAAGCCTGACCTTTACAGAAATAATTTCAGTAAATTTGAAGTGATTGGAATTGACTAAAAATTCAGTGAATTTGGGTCTGCAAAATTATCCAATCCGGTTTAATTATGAAATGTGGGAAAGGATTAATGTCATCATTGGACAAATTGTTTTTATTTTTCACCGTCAACAGTCTATTTCCGGTTTAGTACTTGCTAACCACGGTTAGCTCGACGCCGTTGGTTTACTTCTGGCTTCGTGGCTCATTGAATTGATTAGCCTGACGTTTTATTTCTGTATCGCTTCACCGCAAAAGTGGAAAAATGTCGCGTTTATCAGCGACCCTCGCCGTCGCGCTGCTGCTCAGCCTGGAGGCTTCAGGGAAAACTGTGAAGGGGCTCTTCGGGAGCGAAGCGGCGAGGCAGGAAAATGGCCAGTTCATCACCAAATTCATGTACCAAGGTAACGGTGCTGATGTGCAGCTCTGGTCGCTAACGTGTCACTCCTGCACGGCCACAAGCTGCTCATTCTCCGCAGGGACTCTCATCGTTTCTTGATAAAATTCACTACTTCCGTTCAGTTTTAATGCCTTATTATCTACATATAAGGGTGTAACTAACTGACTAATCATTAACTTGGACTAGTAATGTCTGCTGTGATTATCATCACCTTCGGACATCTCTTAACCCTCCTGGGACCGTGGACATATAATTCAATAGTTTTGGTTTTATGTTTACTGTTTTAGTAGAAATTCTATATTCTGTTATATTTACATCTTTAATTCCCCTTAAGTTAAATAGTCTGACTTTTTTTTTTCGTTGTTCACATTCCTTTGAAATGTTATCTTGTTTTCTGCTAAGTGAAGATATGGAGAAAAAAAATAGTTGGACATATATTTAGCAACTCCCTTTTAAATTTGATTTTAAAAACTGATTAGAATGTTGCTGCCACTCTTTGGCTTGGAAAATTATATACGACAAAATATGAGTTGGTGTAATTTGAATATATGGGATGGTATTATATAAATAATTGTTTTTAAAAAGGAAACTTATAAATTGTGTTGTAAAATTTTAGAAAATTAATGAGAATTTATCATCTTTGAAGACTGAAAGTAATAAAGATTATAGATCAATTAATTTTTTTTAAATAACCTTTTTTGGTGTCAGTAAGATCAAATGGAGCACATTTTCATTCTTAACTGTTTATTTCATAATAACTTAGTATTTAGTCTCACTTTGTTTTTATTTCTTTAACTTAATAAACTACTTAACTAATTTGATTGATGCTGATGGAGTCATTCCTTTATTAAAATTTTGTTTTATCTATATCGTAATCTGTAATAAGATATTACTCAATGTTAAAATACTTTCTACTTTCAGAAAGTAGAAAGTGTCTGATATTTTCTTGGTTTATTTCATTTTAGCAGGTGACGGCGGGCTGCTGGTGTGTCGGCTGGACAATCCATCCCTGGGAACAGAGAAGGAGGCCAGGCTGCTGATGTACCAGGACATGGACTCAGATCTGGACAATCTGAGCTGCTCCCAGCGCCTCAGCAGAGCCCAGTTCACCAGTAAGTGTTCCACTTTATTACTACGAAGAGATCAAGACGCCATTGATTGACTTTTCTCCCCACCACCTGCTTCAGTTTCCCTCAGCCAGGAAGAACACAACCAGACGATCCCTCGTCAGTCTTCGCCCACAGCCTGGCAGGTGCTGTACGCTGACAGATACACGTGCAAGGTAACTGGGAATGTTACGTGTTTCCACAGACATAAAGTTTGAATACAACTGTTGGGATGAGGAAATATGTCCATTGTTTGTTTTCTCGTCAGGAAAGCTCAGTTACGCCGTCGTACGCTGACCTCGGCTTCAATCTCCTGCTGTTCAACCCCGACTCTGCTGGGAACCCGCTGGATCACTTCAGCGCAGAGGAAGCAGGTCAGACAACCCCGACACACGACGTCGGTTTAGGAGGACGGCTGTGTTTGTAGTTGTTCCAAACTCTTCCTGGGGTTTTGATTTTAACCGTATGCAAATGTGTTTTCTCAGGGCTGCACAGTTTCTACTTCCTCCTCCTGCTCGCCTACTTCATCGCCTGCTGCATCTACTTCCAGCCTCTGTATCAGGCGCTGAAGAAAGGGGGCCCCATGCACACGGTCCTCAAGGTGCTGACCACGGCCCTGGCTCTGCAAGGCTGCTCTGCCCTCTGCAACTACATCCACCTGGCCAGGTAGCCTCCATCCAACCGTCCTATAGAAGTATCCACCATCAATTCATTATATAATGAGTTTTATTTTCAGAAATGAGCGATTAGAAAATATTCAATTCTTTTACGATATTCTATCTATAAGTGTTTGATTGATGTAATGCACACAAATGTTTATCCACTCATTATTGATACCAGAAAGTCAATATAATATCAGTTTTTTGCTCTTGAACATTCTCCTGTTTTCTGTGGAGAAACAAAAACAATCAGAATTATGCTTCAAATATGAATTATTTTGAATGGAGCTTTATTCTTTAAGTTGAACTAAAAATGTGTGATCTGGTGTCCTGCAGATACTCCAGAGACGGTACTGGGATCCCCCTGATGGGCAGCCTGGCAGAGTGTACGTTACGCTCCACGCCTCACATTAACTCTACTCACACATCAATTAAACAACGCCATCTTTACTCACGTCTTCTCTGCACTTCTGTGTGTGTCGCCGTGCAGTCTGGGACATGGTGTCCCAAGTGTCCATGCTCTACATGCTGCTGAGCCTGTGTATGGGCTGGACTCTGAGTCGAGGCAGGAAGCCGCAGTCCAGACCTCTGCAGTGGGAGCGCTCCCCGGCGTCCACGGCCGTCGCTGTTGGCGGCGTGGTCACACAGGTACCAGCTTAAGGTTTTATGTGGCCAGGGTTTATTAGGGAACTTCTTTGTCCACAAAGAAGTTGATATCGTCAGTCATGGCTGGCAAAGAGCAATCCGATCCGTAGCCTACACATTGACCCGATCTGTGGTTCCCAGGGAGTCCTGCTGCTGTGGGAGCAGTACTCTGAGTCGGAGAGCGAACACCACAGCTATCACGCCCAACGTAGCCTAGCAGGTCTCCTCCTCCTGGCTCTGAGAGTGGCGCTGTCCCTCCTGCTGGCCTCCATCCTCTACCAGATCGTCTCCACAGAGAGGAGCACCCTGAAGAGGGACTTCTACCTCTGCTTCGCTAAGGTGACGGCTCTGAGCTCCACAGCAGCCTCCGAGCCTGACAGCTGTCTAACCTCCAGGTTGTCTTCTCTCCGCAGGGCTGCTTCCTGTGGTTCCTTTGTCACCCCATCCTCGTCCTCATGTCTGTGGTCTTCAACGACCACCAGAGGGAAAAGGTGCAAGACCACAACTTTCAGAATTTTACTGTCCGTTACCTGAAATCGGTCTTCATTACCTCTGTCACTACCTTCTGTTCTGCAGGTCATCACCATCGGCGTGATCCTCTGCCAGTCCATCTCCATGGTGATCCTCTACCAGCTCTTCCTGTCCCGCTCACTCTACTGGGAGGTGTCCTCCCTCTCCTCCGTGTCTTTGCCGCTCACTATGTCCAGAACGAACCACCACAGGGGGCGCCTATGAGCACAGATACCCAGGTTACGGTGAGAACTGAAGCGTCTCTGTCAGACGCAGCAGGAGACGTTCCCCCTGCACCGTCGTCTGTCCCACGTTAGAGCTACCACTGAGCCGTGGACAGGCGACAGTACTTACTGCAACACACTACCTCTGACTTCTAACTGGAGCGTCTGGGATGCAAAATGCATGGCCAAGCATGCATCAGCTGGCGAGGTAGACGTCAGCAGAAAACCACGATAAAGAACTTGAGAGAGCGCAAAATCGCAAGCAATCACAATTAGATTATTTTTAAAGGCTTTACCTGCAAATCGCTGAGTCAGCCATGATTGGGGCAGTCTGCATGTAGATAGGATTTTTATGTTATTGTTATTATTTCTATGTCACAAAAGCTGTGCCGTTATTTAACTGTCAACAAATGTATGAGCTGACAGCATGTGAGCTGCAAATCATCGAACCGACATTAACTCTGTAGCTGCAGCGAACTGCATGACTCTGAATTGGCAGAAATGTTTACTAAAAATCTTTTTCCACAAGAGCTTCACTGTGTAAATACATTCCTGTGATTTTCCGTTTACTTCTGTTTTCGGGCTAAATCTGACTAATATTTGTGTCAAAACAAAACAGAGGCTGGTGGGATCATATCTTGTTGTTTAAGTTGAGATGGAGACATATTTTGAAAAACAAACATGCAGAACAAGAAAGAAATTGACATATTTATTTGTCTGTTTATTTATTTTTTTAAGTGATTAAAAAAAAGGGGCAATGTCCAACACCACTACTTCTCATTCTGTTTGGTCAGAGGCTGCTGAGCTTCTACATGATATTTAAAAATATACTTGAATGTATAGCCTTTAACAGCTGTTATAAATACGCAAAATGATATCAGTCCATATTGCTTTGCACTGAGACAGTGCATGTGTCAAACGTTGCATTATGTTTTATACTGCAGCACAGAGACAATCTAGCATTCAGTTGTTTATGTAATTATTCAGACTTGAATGTCCTTGTCTGGTATAATTTATGTCACTTGTGGAAATAAAACTAGCAAACATGGCAACTGTAATGAGTTCATTGAAATTGATTAATTTAAAAAAAAAATTTAACTGTAAACATTTTTCAATATCGTCATGGAAACCACATGGTGAGGAACTGCAGAGACTTTGCTCAGGTGGGATCCTACATACTGTTGGGAGATACAAGTCACTATTTTTGCTTGTCGAAAAATATCCAACTTAATATATGTTCTTATTCTGTAAACTTTTCTTAAATAGTTATCATAAACATAAATTTAATGCAACACTGCGCACTTGTAATGCTACAGTACTTTATATAAATTTAAAACTGTGTGTTTTGTTTAAAGCATCCGTTACCCCAGAATAATCCAAACATAAATGAAAACATTTATGTGACGGAAAAGACAATAAATTAAACTTCGTCACGAACAGGATTCGAACCTGTGCGGGGAAACCCCATTGGATTTCGAGTCCAACGCCTTAACCTCTCGGCCACCGTGACTACGCATGCCCTAATACGTCATCACGTCACTATATAAATGTTTACGCATGACAAGTGTGGAAATGATAAAAATATAATATTAATGAATGGTAGAAATATTTATTTTACTATTTGTTCATCGTTATGTAAGCGTATACTGTTACACCATACACTGATGGACACAATTACTCTTAGACCAGGTGTAACACGAGTTTTTGAAAAGACTCTAAAATGTCTTTGTGCCGTCTTGCATACTAGTTTTAACCATTTTTTTATATATATATATATTTGCTTTTAACATGTCACCCTACCTCGTTAATGTATGTCTTTCGCTACTTTCTTTCTGGAGCCTTCCAGGTTGCTCCAGTATGTGTCCGAAATTAGATGAGCTCTGCTTCGTGGTGCATTCAAAGCCACTTGGTGAAAGCTATCACTACACATTTGACAGCAAGCTAAACTCCAGAAATAGTTCAACATCCTTACTAAGTTATCAAGGCGAACATCTTTTTATTTTAGTACCACTAACTACAATTATTAATAACAAGGTGTAACTATTTTAATCTGTAATCTGAGGAAAAGTTAGCATTTCTCACAAATGCCTCACAACTGACGCTTCGAACAAACGTCATTTCTATTGGTCTATCAGTCTAAGACCCGCCTCCTTCTGACGAGCATTAATAGCGCTTGCGCATAGTCGGTGAGAAGAGCATTACAGCAACGAAAATGATCAACTGGAAGGTAAATATTGTAAAAATGCGTTTATTCTAATCATAGTATTTATATTTGATTAATAGCTAAGCAGGTTATCTTCCTTTAAAGCTGCCAGTGATTTACATTGCTTTTTAAATTGTTGCTAAACACAATGCTAATGTTTTCAGAGCTAGCCAAACAGAAGATGTCACTATTAAATCTGATGCACATTAGTCAGAATGCCACAGTATCAGATTTTGGGAGCAAGATCTGATCGCTTGTGGCTGTATAGAATGTATGGGCTGTAGCTTTTAATACACATGGTTTAGAGTGCAGCTGCTTCTCTCTCTCATGCAGCCTCCCCTCTCAAATTACCTTCCTCCTGCAGCAGACAGCTGTTGCAGGGGGATCACAGAGAGGGGAGGAGAGATTTCTCCTGCTTCCCTGATTATTCCAGACATTTCTCCTCCATCACAATATTTAAAAATTCACCGGAAACCTTCTAAAAATAATTTTCTCGATCTGCTTTCCAGGCCTTGGACAACGTCCCCCTCCTCTTCTACATCCTGGCCCTGAAGACGATGCTGCTGTGCTTGGCCTTCGCCGGGGCCAAGATTTACCAGAGCAGGAAAGCCGAGGAGGCCCTGAAGAAGCAGCAGGCCGAGAGGAGGCTGGCTCAGCAGACGCAGGAACTCATCGACAACCTGAAGGAGGACTGAGGAAATCCAGAGGAGCAGGTGCTGCTTTTACCCAAACGAGCCGACTATTTTTCATCCAGTTTGAACATATGTATAGAAATCTTTTTTGTCTTCCCGATCAGAACGAGCTGAGCTCCTCCCAACGAGTCGGAGAAGCAGAAAGAAAGAGGAGAATCTGGAGATTCGCTCTTCAGCACTGGGATGTTGACTTCACAAGTTTTACTCCATATTGACTGACTGTATTTTTAAAATATATATAAGAAGAAAGGAAAGCAGAATCTATTCAAACATGGAAAAACTGCCTTGCTGTCACTCATGGTCTGAGCTGAGCTTTGTCTACATGTGTGGCTGAATTTTCACTCTCTGAAATATTTTTGCGCTTATATTTGTAACTACATTAAATCGTTTGCCCCACATCACTGTTTTTGAGTCTGTTTTTTTCTTTATTAATTAAGGAAAACAATTTAATATAATTCTAAAATAAAACTTGGCTCTAAAAATGTGCCATTAATGTATAACATGCACCTGTTTTTTTTTAAATTCATTATTAATGATTTGTGTTTAAAATCACAATGTGTTGTTTGTGCCAATTTGATATTAATGTATTAAAAGAAAAGACACGACATGAGCTTTTAGTTCATAGATTTTTGGGAACATTTTTGCCCAAACTAAAGATAAACAGCAGTTTTGTGTATATTTGAATAGAAAAAATAACTTTTGTAATTTCTTGTCTTAGAAAAAAATCAAATAAAAATTTCATCATGGCTTAAAGTAAAGTGAGTTTAAAGCATTTGTAAAATCATTTTTATCGGACAACTGGTTCTTGACTTTGTTAGGAACTTTCTTGTGTCTGAATAGAAGTTGATTGGATCATGAAAATAATTGTTTGAAATGGATCACTTTGTGTAAAAAAGAGTCTACAGAGCACAAGAGTTTGAGTTTTGGAAGATATCCATTGACGTAACACTTAAACGTAAACATGCAGCAGTAGATTTTTTGTTTGTTTTTTACCTTTGTCGAACAGCAGAGGGCGCTGCTGCATTCATATTTACTCAATG